ACTCATTCATAAACACAACCGAAAGCACACTGACCCATATAAGCAGTGTCCACCCAACTGCACACTCTGAGTCCTTTCATTAATATCCTATATATTGTTGTCTCTTTAAAAAATATCTAAGAATCTTCAATAATCATAAGGATCAACATGGCTTTTAAAAATGGCGTGCATAAATCGCATTCGTGGTGAATAATATATATAAAAACCACTATGTCAGAATAAAAAGAGCATGTTTTTGACTTTGTTTTAGCTTCAGTTCAAAGTCCAGTGCGGGGTCTTTCTGCACAGTTGATACAGTACAGTGGGTTTGGCCTTTCCACTGGGGAGGGGCGGAGAGCGACGCGCGCACAAGGAGATTATCCACCTCCTGACTGCTGCTGCTGCTGCTGCTGCCGCTCCTGCTGCAGGCTGTACACGACCATTGACACACTTCTCTACGCGCTGTTGTTACTCTGTCATAAATCAGACAGAGCGCATTGACAAAACCAAAACAAAAATGTAAGCATTTCGCCATTGGGCGGAAAAAAAAACAAAAAAAAGTTGCGGACCTTTACGCGTGGGCAGGGAGCGCACTCTTCAACATGTCTCCAAGTGCGCGGCCCGAGGAGAGAAGCAGACGTCTGTGATCCATAATAACATTTGGAGATTTGTTTTGTGGGAACTTAACTGTGGATGAGAAGATATGGCAACTCCCGCGCATCACCCGGAGACCAGGAAATTTACGCGTGGATTGGGGAAACCTGGCACCGCGGCAGGACTGAGGCAAAGCGTGTCCGAAGTGGTCAGGACGTCTGTGCTCGTAGTAAGTACCCTGAAGCCCTCCCTTTCTACACTTTCTATTGTGTATGACTTGTAAAGTGTTTGGGTGACCCTTATTAGCTGGGAGGTGTGTTGAAAAGAAGACTGAAAACGGTGATGTTATAGTGGAGTAATGTTTGGGGAGTGGACACGTGTTGTGGGCAAGAGAGGAATGGATCAAAATACAGGTTGAGAAGGCAAGACCAACATGTTGTGATTATAAGGTTATTACTATCCATGTGGCAATGTATAGCCTAATAATGATCAAAATGTAGTGATACGTTGAGCTGTTGTTTAGTTGCTAATAAGTAAAGCTCAGTTAAAGGTGCCCTATGTCACTTTTCGGATTGGTATCCTCCTGCCTGTTGCCATGGAGATGTTTTAATGGAGTATAGTGTGGCATTTAACTATTTTATTCCTGAATTCCTGAACTTGCCTCTCCACAGATCTGACCTGTAACATAGGCTGGTGTTGTCACTTTCCTCCAGTGTAGGCTTTGGAATATTCAAGGGAAAAAAACAATAACATTTATTATTATTGGCATACGAGTTGCTGACACCCCAAGTAGATGTGCCACAGACTTGGAATAATGTTGAATAGAGTAACTTATAATACAAATGAATACAACATGAATAATATAATACAACATGAATAATTGTCAAATATCTAATTTCATATAATGATTGTAACACGTTTTAGTTCATTTAGCTCTGTTGTCTTTGGCCTTATCCCTCAGTCAGATGTATCATATCACTGAATACATGACATAGTATGACATGTTGTTTCTGTCTTGTCAAAACCTCTTGCCTTATTAGTTCTGTAGAATCAGTGCGGTCTGCCATCCTGTGCCATGTCTATTGTTAAATGTATTGGGTTTTTTTCTGTAAGATGGTATCTCTCAGAAAAGTATGTGGATATAAGGTTTCCCGTTTGTATCCGTTATGAAGTGTCCAGTGACCGTGACATAACAATGAATTTCCAGTTGTATCACTTTTCTATTCGTAAAACACATTATTCTTGTTGTAAGTTAGCTGTCTGCAAACGGTTGAATAGTTATGAGCTAAAGGCCGGTGTTTGCGTATCATCGTACATTCTTTTGTTTATGAAATGTTACCTTTTGCTTTGCTCTAGTTTATTCCAATTTCCCGGGCTCACCTGGACCCGCCCCCTATCGTCATCTAAAAGTTTGAGCGAACATAGAAAGTTACCCCTAACACTCAAATGTCAAGATTTATTTGTACATTTGTAGCACATTTACAACACCAGGTGCCCAAAGGTGACACTTGAGATTTCCCTATTTTGTTTAACCATAATATTCAAGTTAAAGCTGAAGTTAAAACCTAACTTTTGACAACATAATATTGATCTATGTAATCATTTATTTCCTGGCTCTTTTTTTCCATGCATGTATTTTTAGGCCTCTAGGCCTTTTTTAAGATTAGCTTTTTGAGACAGAAAAGTGAAAAAGAGAGGAGCACCCTCACTCGGCCAATCAGCTTTCTGCCTGAAGCGTCAAATAGTGACTCACAGGGCTCATTTTTTTCAGACTACTTGTTTTTTGATGGTCCGATTTGTGGTCCGAAATGAAATGAAATGAAATGAAACTCCAAAAAATGATGAAGTATGAGGTAATAAATGTTTGAATCAAGTGATTTTTATCTTTTTGAGTACATTCTAACTGGCTTAAAACAAGATTTGCAAATGAGACATGATTTTAGTCTTATTTCAAGAACTGTTGCTTCATTTCCTCACCCAAAGGGAAACATTTCTTATATATTTTTTACATTTTGCTCTGTCCCATTGGCAGTGAAAATGATTTTTTCTTATCACTTTTTACAGTGTAGTAGCCTGGTCGTACCACACCATAGTACAAATGACATTTCGTACTAAGGCCTGGATGTGCTCCATTGAGCTCCGTGAACAGGTGGGAGGGGTTAACTCCTTTTGCAGATTGAAACAATTGGATCTGAGTTTACCGAAACGTATGTATTGCGTTTCGGTAAAGGATCAGTGAGGGGTTGGTGCTCTGTGGACTGGGTGCAGCTCTGACTGCCACCCCCCGACCCAGAAATGGATTAAGGGGAAGAAAATGGATGGATGGATGGGTATGTATTGCGCCTGAGTGAGTCGTTAGCATAAAGCATTTAGCCTAGCCATCTCCTTTGCCGCTAACGGAGCCCTAGGGGAGTAGCGCAACAATTTTTGCCAGTGATTACATTTGCTAAAAATTCCTCTTGCTCCTGCGTCAATTTCTTGATAGAACCAGACCGGATTACTTTACTATCGCATTCTTCGCCATTGCCAAACTACAACCTGCCCGTTCTGCGCAAACTCTTGACGTCACCCACATCTAACTACAACACCCGTCTCCCGTGCTCTCTGAATTCTACCGATTGTAATCGCAAACACACAGGGACCAGACCCAGATGTTACATGCAGGGAAATTATAATTGAGCGGAGTGTACGGATGGCTAAGGCCAGGCTAACAGTGTAGGGGTTTTTCTCAAAATTATACATTGATATTAAGTTTTGATTTAACCTAATCTGCAAAGTATTGTATGGTTGTTAACTATTGCACCTATTGTTTTTCCTGGGAGAAAGTCGCTCGGTAACTGTAGCAGACACCGTCCAGATCGCTTCTGTCACGGAAATGGAATCCTGACTCAGGATCCTCGACATCCAACCGCACCTTCATATTACTTATTCATTTTCACTGTGGTGCTTTCTTTGCCAGAGAGATGCCTGAAGGGAGGAGAGCACAAGGGGGAAGAAGAATGCATGTTGGGAAATTAGCATGCTCCGAAAGAACTAGCCTGTTGCTTAATGTTATTGTGTGTGAGCGGCATAAACATGAAAGAAAAAATGCGAGCTGTAGAAGTGGATGTACAGTGTGGTTGTCTTGTGGAGGTCCCGTGTTCTATGGGAGCTGTCAGTGGGAGAAGAATGCCACAGTACACAAAACATGACGCTGTCCGGAATAATGTATTCCTCCATGCGACGTGTGGCCCAGAAGGAGGAGAAGAAGTCTGATTCATAAAGAGAATATTGTGGTTGATGTGGTCCTCTGTTTTGGCTCCCACTTCCATGTTTGTGCTGAATCTCCCAGTGTCAAAAGGATATGGCCTATAGGTGCGGAATACTTTTAGTTTAGTTTAGTTTATTGTTTTTATAACTGGGACTTTCCATCTGTTGTCCCTGGGTTTAAATCTCTTGAAACATGTTGTAAAAGTCCCTGTTACTTGTTCTTGTAATACTTTCAGTTGTCTTCCAATCTCCAGAGTGCTACTGCTAACGACCCATTCCTGTTTTGCTACATTGCAATGATCTTATCAGAGCACAATGTTAGTCCGGAAGAAAACCACATTAAAATTAAAGCTAAACGTTCAAAGCACTAAAAATGTATCTATATGAGAATAGAAGATGAGCAAAATAAATGGTCGAGTCGGACTACAACAGTTTCTTCCTCTCTGCTGTTGGATTTAGGAAGACTTCATAACTCATCACTAAATTCCGGCCCTTTACAATCGTCCCATACTTCTGTCACTTTACACTTCTACCACTTTATACTATATTATTATATGACTTGGACCGTACGCGCGCTCTGATTGGTTGATTTGCGGTCTGATATTTTCCCATCTCGGACCGTTACCATGACAATTGGTCCGAACAGCACGTATCACATTTGATATCTTTCCACGGACCGTTACCATGACAATCGGTCCACAGCCCGTATCACACAAAACCAAGTTGAACATGAACATACTTAACAAATATCTCAAAAGCATTGGTAAAGACACAGACGAGAGTCATATAATAAAACATTTGTTATCCTTGCTTGCTCGGTCTGTACAGAGAAATATCAGACCTTGGCCTTTTTGCACAGACCTCACCACGTCTCGGTCTGTACATTAAGGCCGCGGTCTGATATTTCTCCATACAGACCTCGCGCTCGGTTAATAAGCCGTTAATATCCCTAATGTCTCTTGTGTGTAAATATATATTAGAATTTCATTTAAAGGAGCAGTATGTAAACATCTGGCCAAAAGTGGTACTGCACTTTGCCTGACTCAGGTTGCCAGATATGCAGACGAGTCCATCTGGGACCATATTATCTGAATAAAGAGTTTTGTCACCTTTTTCACAAATAGAAATCCTGGTTTTATTCCTTATTTTGTCGTTAATGATTTGAGAACAAGACCCCTTTTAGTTCTGCGGCCACATGCTACTTTACCACTGAGATTAGCTCGACGCGGTGAGTTCTGGCAACCCGGGTGACAGACTTTCTGATTGGTAAAACGGTGGAGGGCGGGACATCGAAATGAAAACAAAAACAAGATTCAAGGGCTGTAAACTAATTTTGAAATCCAAATATCTCGGCTGAACTAATGTTATTAGTATTTCAGAAGAGAATGGTTTATTATGCCTTTTGACAGATTGGGGCTATTTAACGATGAATTGACGTGAAAACCTTACATATTGCTACTTTAAGTCGTTTTTTTTGTATGCATGCCTTACTATTATATAACTTGTCTGCACCATTTACCAAATACCAAAATTCCTAGTTTGACTTCCCGATAATTATGGCAATACAAAGAATTCTGATGCCTTTTTTCTTCTGTTGTGAAAACCAAAACAATGTATATATGGTTTAAATGTTTGTGTTACATTGTGCTGTAGTGCACTGACTGGCTTGTATCATTTCTATTATGCAATGAAATCCTTTGCCAAAATCACCCAGGAGCCAATTCTTAGTGGGTGAATCAGGGGGAAATAGTTCAGATGCAAATGCAAAGCTCTTGTTTCAACAAATCAACTCAATTGGATGAAGTATACGTTCCATTATTTACTGGAAACCTTGACAAAATGACGAGCCGAAACAAGTCGGGATGAGCTGTCTTTTCTGTCTGAAAGGGAACGCTTACACCTTAAACTGCTTTTCAGAGCGCACAGAACAACCTCTACTGTGTCTTTTGCAACATGAGCCTAAGGAGACGCTCACTAAAAGAACAGACAGGCCCTGCAATAAATACTGGCAGCAAACAATACAAATACATCCTCTAATTAGTCTGTGTGCGGTGGGGGGAGTGGGCGGAGTGAGGATCATGGAGCATCCTTTTCCTAACATCAGCTGAATGTTTAAGATTTAGTTCAGATTAAAGCTGGGGTTCCTATTTGTCTGAATGTATACATGCACTGCAAAAAATGATTAAATATGAAGTAATAAACGCATGAATCAAGTGTTTTTTTAAATATTAATATGAGTACATTCTGACTGTCCTAAAACAAGATTTTCCAATGGGACAAAGCCATTTAGTCTTATTTTCTGATTCCCAGGGAGACATTCGTTATATCTTTTTAAAACAAGATATTTATGCTTGTTCCATTGGCTAATCTTGTTGTTAGGCAGTCCATTTGTGCTTAAATTCAGATTTTTGACTAATTTTTCATCACTTTTTGCAGTGTAATCCATGTTGTTTGTCCTAACAGGAAGTATTGTACAACTAAAGTTTGGTGAATTAATCCACAAAATGCTTCTTAAGAAAGAGCCCTGTGAGTCACTATTTGACGCTTCGGCTGAGAGCTGATTGGCTGAGTGGGAGTGGTCCGCTCTATATGTGCATGTGAAGACTAGGAATAGAAACCGAACTGTTTTAAGAGCGAGGAACTATTCATTTTATTTTATACATTACAATAAAATTCTGTACACCAGCTTTAAGGCACATGTATTGCATTTCACTGTGGATTTAGAGGCATCCCAAATCAATGGCAGTTGGAAATGTTTAGTTAGACTGGTTGAATGGAGGCACTGGGAGCTGTTGTGTAATTGTAATCAATAGAGCACGCTGGTCATGCCATAACAGCAGTCCTCTCCCTGGGCCTGACCCCTGGGAGCCGAGGACCAGATGGAGGTCGTTATTGGAGGTGACGCTATTGTCTTTTCTCCGCTGAATGCAGCTGAGTCACTCTATCTCCGTACAGAAAAGTGAGAGTTCTTCACTGAATTAAGCATGAAACATTGATGTGCGGATAGTTAGTTGGTGCAAGAGTCAAGACAGTGCTGTAAAAAAAAAAAAAAAACGGTCACATTATTACAAATACATAATCATAGGGCCATAGATAATTAATTGTGGATAGCATAAACATCATCGAAGCCAGAGATCCGGGGCACTCTGAAAGTTGAGTCCTTTAAACTACCTGGACATTGCACCAAAAGTGTCCTTGTTATTCAAATTGTATTTACCTTCATCATCATTTACAGTATTATCGGTCATTTGACATATTGCCTGCTTTTTCAAACTTTTGCACAAGCATTCCAATATGGGTTTTAACATGCAAAGGGTCAATAAATTGTATTTTGTAAATGCTAGTCTCTCTGAAACTATAATCAATTCAAATCAAATCCATTTGTTTTACAAGAGAAAACAACAAACAGAAGAAAATAGAGGTAATAATAGTAAAACGTCCATAAACGTCCCAGATCACCCTTATATCCTTTGACCCTCCTACATTTATAATCCATTATTAGGTGCTAATGAGGTTGAACGTCTAAAACCGTTAAAAGATTAGCCTAATGTGTGCCTTAAGCAGCTTGATCTTCCTCTGCGTGGCTGAATGAGAAGCAGCAGTGTTGGGGCTGAGGCTGGAGGCCACGTCAGGTGCCTGTTTACAGAACTGCTAAACACTATACTACATGTAAATAATACATGGGGAGGGCCTAAGTGGTGCACCTATCTGAAGGCGATGGTGCCGTGTGCAGTTAGGAAGCAAATCAAATACAAGAGAAACGGATGTCTTGTTAGATCGCATTCGGCTGATGTTAAATATTGATGTTGTGATTGTGTGCTGAATGATGCTGCCACTGGCCTATTGTGTAACTGCTTTCGTAGAACTGAGTTTGCAAGTTATGCTTGTTCTGTTTGTTGTGTTGCAAAATTACAATTTCATTTCGGTTTAAAAAAACAAAACTCTGTACTCAATACCAATTATACCATGGTGATGACTTGAAAATATTATTGTTTTTTTGGTGTGAAATGTGCTAAGCAGGACAGGGCCTGGTTTTTACTATGATGGGAGACCTCTGGGAACACCAGTGGGGCGGCTGCAGCTATAAAGTGACAAACTGTTGTTGTGTCGTTAGGCAAGACATTTCACCCACGTACTAGAATGAGTCTGGTGTGTGTGTGTGAATCGTAGACTGTTAATTGATGTTAATGGTTGGTGGTGGTCACAGGGGTCGATGGCACATACTGATTGCCTTTCAGTGTGCCCCAGGGCAGCTGTGGCTACAGTAGTAGTTTATCATCACTGTGTATGGAGTGAAAGATTAATGACATGTGAAGCGTCTTTGAGTGTCCAAAAAAATAATAATAAATAAATTCATAATTGTAGCTGTTTGCGCTCTATACCTCAATGTTATTTGAAATATATTAGCAAGTGAAGGGCCAAGAGACACGCCATATACTGTAGTTTTCTCTCATGGTGTTTGCATCACCAAAATAATGACCTTGTATTTCCATTGTGCCACTGTGTGAATAGGAAGTACCCAGGGTTAGTATTTAGATAGGCCTCTTTTCCTGTGTGTGTGTGCACGCATGTTTGTTTGTGTGTGTGTGTGTGTGTGCTCATGTGCGTGTGTGTTTATGTGCGTGTGTGTATGTGTGTATATATGGCCTGAGCACTTTGGGTCACTCTCCCCCTGGACACCAGAGGTTACCATAACAGAGACCAGCTGAGGAGCCGCCACTATGATCCTCTGTAGAAGGACTTTAAGCTCGTTTGCTTTCTCACTGACCTGCTGGGATTTCAGTGCAGTTTTATAGCCCCTTTAGACCTACACACACGCACGCATACATGCACACCTACACACATACACATACACGCACACCTACATCCTCACACACACACACACACACACACACATCCAGCTATTTCTCTCGTCGATGTGTCTGCCAAAGTCGTCAAAGGTTGTTGCAACAGAGCGGTTTGTTTAGATGAAAGATGGTTTGTGCTCTCTCGGACTCGACGGTTTGTTTAATT